CTTTCCCTGAAACCTGGCCTGTGTGAACAATCAGAAAGCCAATTTCAGTGCAGTATCTTTCTGTGGAAGCTGTTTGACTCCTCAGCTACTACAGCTCTGAACTTTGTGTGCTGCAGGGATTTTCAGTCGTGAGCATGGATCAAACAAAAAGCTGGCAGCCCAGTCCTGTGCCCTTTCCTTGGTCAGACAGCTCTACCATCTCGGTGTCATAGAACCTTATTCTGGACAGACAAAGAAAAAAGGAGAATCGGTGAGTTTGGTAGAAGGGTCAGAAATTGTTGCTTTCATTTTAATAACACAAGCACTCTCTTATAAAGATGAGTGAGTTAGAATTTACTTTCGATATTTAACAGCTTGTAAGTTAATCGTAATTTTGATTCTTTAAACCAGCAACTGTTTGTGGTCTGGCCAGTGGTTTGGATCAGAAATACAACTTCCTGTGTAAGTGAATGGAACAGTAAACGAGTTCTACAGCTTATTAAATGAAATAGGGATTTGTAACAAATGCTTTTTTCAGTATCAATTTTCTAGAAGCTTAAAGATTTATGTTTATGCTAGATACAATTCTCGGCTATTTTGTTTCATTTTCTGGCACGTTAGCATTTTTTTGGTATTCAGTTACAAGTTTGGGAATGTTTTCCTCTGAAATTAAACTTGTATTTAAAAATATTCCACAGATTCTTGGATGAAAAGTCAGCAAAATGTTTCAAGAATGTGATTTTTGAACTGATGGTACTGTTCAGCCTTGTTCACTAGGGACTGGTTGATGGTTCAGTGTGCTCTCTGGTAGCCTGCAGTTCTGGCTTCCCTTGTCTGTCTCTCTGTGTGTGTGAACATGCAGTTTTTAAATGTTTAATAGGTGGAACCCTATGAGGTGTTGCTGTCTTCTGACTTAGAAAATCGGCTGCAAAAGACTGTACAGGAGCTGTCTCTGGAGATTGTGCCTTTGGTGAGTTTGGAGTTCGGATACTTCAGTGGTTAACGTCCGGCCTGCTTGTTTAATACTTTCATCTTTCTTTACCCACTTTGGTTTTGTATTTATAGCCTGAAGATCCCAGTAATCCCGTTCTCATTAATGTTGGAAAGTTGGCCCATTTTGAACCATCACAGAGACAAAATCATATGGGAGTTGTTCCATGGTCACCACCTCATTGCAACTGGAACCCCTGGACCGGCTGCAATATTGATGAGGGACCTCTGGCAAATGTAAGATAGCTTCAATAATTGATTTGTTGTTTATTTTTCCCCATGCTTCTGGAACTTTTAAATGCTTTTTCCCCCCAGGATTTAAAGTGTGAGCTATTCCAAAGGAGAAAACAGTCCACAGATAAATTATCATCCCTTCTTGACCTGGATGAAGGGAATCTTTTCATTGGTAGGAGTTCTTTGTATGTACTTCATGTTTTATTAGGTTCTTGAGCAGCAGTGTCTTGGATGTCCCAGTTCTTTGTTTTGTTTCACTTTTTGCCTGCTAATTGTGCAGCTCGAACAAGGTTCTAATTGAAATTCCAAGGTAAGTGTAAGGCCACATCATTTATAATTCCCTAGCCTCTCTTTCCCATATTTTCATGCTAGAACTTTATTTTCTGAGAGGAGAAACTGCTCCAAGATGGTGTCAGTACACAATCAGCCTGCTTGCTTTTTTTGTTGTTGTTGTTTCTAGTCCCATTCACCACAGAACAAATGAAAAGCAGCAATGTAGCTTGATAAAATGAGGAAGAAGGAAAGAAATACTAGGTTGCCAAATTCAGAGGCATAATTTGGCCACTGGTACAACCTGGTCAGAAAACTCTCAGAGCAAGAACTTCAGTTTCCTACAACAGGGAACCAGAATACTTACGACCAAAATGATAATTTAATACTACTTTTGACTGCAGGTTTTTTTCCATAAATGACATTCATTTAACACTGATCATTATATATTGACATGAATTTAACACTGATCATTATATGTTGACATTAATTTAACACTGATCATTATATATTGATTTAAAAAATATGGAACTGATATAAGTTTGAGTGTTGCTGCTTAAAACATGTAAATATATTTACGGACATTGTGAATCATGCTGGCTTCAAAGCTCAACACTGATCATTATATATTGATTTAAAAAATAAGGAACTGATATAAGTTTGAGTGTTGCTGCTGAAAACACGTAAATATATTTACGGACATTGTGAATCAAGCTGGCTTCAAAGCTCGTTAGCATTTCTATGTGCTGGTTGTGATGCAGGTGACTTATTTGCAGTAAAGCCAATTAGGCCTTTGGTAACAAATTTCAATTTCTTTAGAATTATTTTGTAGTTGAAATACAAGAGTTGCCTGATAAATTTCTCTCTCTGCTCACTTTTCCCTTTTCAGCTACTGTTCTGTGCTTATATTATCTCATTGCATACATTAAAAACTCCTGTCTCAATGGTCATTGAAGTATCTCGTTGGCTTCC